TCTCGTTTATCATAGAAGCCCGATCGAAATTCTTCATCAAGAAGAAAGAACTCAATCTGTTTGCCACTGAGCGGACCGAGATAGTCCGGGCGAAGCACAAACCTGCCTGAGTTCTTGCGAGGTTCCTTGCACACCAGCTTATGGACTTTGGGATCTTTCAAATACATCACAGAAAGTTCCCAACTACCATCTTCCCTGGTGTGCACGAACGTCTCCTCCATGTTCCTGATATCGCAATGACCAACTTCGGTGATACGCACAACAAGACCATCATCCAGGTGATAGTCGTCGCTCTCGTACCTGCCTGGTTGCAGATAATCGTGAATAGTTTTTCCAGTTGGAAGTTTGTACCGCAGATCACCAGTCCAGTCAAGTGAAGCTAATATGAGATATGACTGGTGCTTCATGTCGCTGGCGACAAGCATCGGCCATGCCTTGGCCTTCATGGCAGCCTCGAACCAGGTGTCACAGCGGAAGATTCTTGTCCATTTCTGAGCGTAGAACTCCTGATCTCGTGTCAGATTGACGATTCCGGCCTTGGCCGCCTTGAGAAGAGCGCAAGGCAGAAGGTGCTCCGCGATTTGGAGGTGGATTTCGTTGGGCAAACCGTCTAGTGACTTGAGAAGCCCGCCCTTGATCCTATCGGCAGCATTGCTGCAGCTGCTGTTCAGTATGTTGCTGATTTCAAGGTAGTTTGCTGCTTGAATAACCTTGAAAAGCAGGGGTGTGTCGATCTCCATGAAGCTGGATTCCCATTTCCGGACCCTACCCGCCGCCTCGTCATGTGCTCTCAAAGCCGCCTTAGAAGCTTCGCCTTTCGCGATCTGCTTTCGTTCCTGGTGGTATAGCTCGCGCTCAAACAGACCTTTCTCAAGCTCCCTTATCTCCTGCTCTTTCTCTTTGGTCTTAACTCTCCAGTCCTTGTTCCACCTGCTCCATGCCGAGATATCTTCGAGCTCCTCGGCCTTCTCGTGCTCTTCGATGCCCTCAAGATATTCGAGTTCCTTGAGCTCCTCTTTCTTCACCTGGATGATATTTTCCCTGTCTTCCATCTCTTTTGTCCTCTCCTCGTCCAGTGAGCGACTATCAAAGCTCCCACCCTTCCTCACCTCATCCCTATCTGGTAGAGCATTATCAAGATGATACTCAATCCAATTAATCACTTTTTGCAGTGCCTCGCCCTCCACCTCAAGTGGTACCACCTTTCCTTCAATTTTGTCGCGACCTAAGCAATCAATCATAGTTTTGAGTATCCTTGATTCGTACAGCACAAGGATGCTCACATCAAACTGATACCCATCCTTAGCTGCGAGGGAGATGGTCGGAAACATCATATTGTTTTCGGAAAAGTGTCCACGGAAGGAGGATTAAAAGTATCCTTTTGTAGGTCTGTCTTTCTTCAGCGAAAGTCAGTCCTAATGCACGAGCTGAAGAGAAACCATTGATACATCTTGCAGGCGAGGACTGCAGACATTATAAATAATTATGATCATTTAGTAGGACTAGATTTGGGAACATTTTGCTTCCTTTCGAGAACGTGACACCGCTAAAATGTGGGATTTGGTTTGTCTTAAAGTACAAAAAATGGTCCTACAGGACGAAAAGACTCGTTCGCTTAGGTCTCGGGAACCTGAAAAGCCTTTGACCTTCTAAGCCCAT